AGATAATCTTGTGCTTTGACTGCCACATGCTGCAGTTTTTGTTAGTGAAGTATGATTTGAATATATACGATTCGCCAATGAAGTTAAAAAAAAAAAGAAAAAAAAAAGAATGCTTCATTTAAGTTATTTTAAGGCCCAATCTAATGAAAATGCTATATTGGTATTCAGATGAAAGCGAAAATTGTTGTTCGACTCACCTCATAGATGGGGATGGTGTTTTCAATGCTGCTGGAATTGATAAATTCATGAAGGAAGTTAAACTTGCCGAATGTGGCCTTTCTTATGCTGTTGTAGCTATAATGGGTCCTCAGAGTAGCGGTATTAGTTTCTGCTTGCAAATATACTCTTTTGATATTATAATTATTATTATCAGTTTTTCGTGCTTGGACTTTCTAAGCAATCTAAAAGTACCTTCTATTCTTACAGGAAAGAGTACATTGTTGAATAACCTGTTTGGGACTAATTTTAAGGAAATGGATGCTTTTAAGGGAAGGCATGCACTTAATGGATTTGTTTTCATCTTTTTTTTTTTGGTTTTTGTTTTTGTTTCGTTTTGTTGTTTTTTTTTCGGCTTATTGTCCAAAAGTGCTCACAGTCTGTAAACTTTGTCAGGTCTCAAACCACAAAAGGTATATGGTTGGCACATTGTGTTGGGATCGAACCTTGCACTCTTGTAATGGATTTGGAGGGTACTGATGGAAGAGAACGAGGAGAGGTCTAATGAAAAAACTTTTGTTAACTTAATGACGTCATATTCTCATGGTGTTTTGTTCATGTTACTTATAGTATTCATTCTATGCTTTATCCTTTTGATTTGTTTATCACTTACTTGTCATTATAAACAGATAAAACATCCTTATGTCCAGCATTTGTTCGTCTTTTTATTTTCTTTGAGTTTGCTAGTATTTGGCGACCCTCATCAACGTGATTCAAGAATTTTCTTACAAACCTTTTGGTTCAATCCCTACATATGATGAAAATAGTTTAGTATTTTTTTGTGCCTCATCTTTTTTTACCTACACTTTTGCTTCTTTTCAGGATGATACTGCATTTGAAAAACAGAGTGCTCTTTTTGCCCTTGCCGTATCAGATATAGTGCTCATAAATATGTAAGATTATTGACTTGCATTAGAAGTGGTATAGAGTATGTTGCAGTTCAGTAATTTTGCTTTTGATTATTGGTTTAGGTGGTGTCATGATATTGGCCGTGAGCAAGCAGCAAACAAACCTCTGCTGAAAACCGTGTTTCAAGTAAGTCATCGAAATTTTTCGTGCATACCTTTTATGTGGAATGTGTATTTAATGATTTTTCCATTGTTTCGAACAGGTTATGATGAGATTATTCAGTCCACGCAAGACAACTTTGATGTTTGTCATTCGCGATAAAACAAGGGTATTATTAGCTTTTGTCATTTTACTCTTGGCTGGCTGAGGATTTTTATCCTGATTTACTTTTTCTTTAATGCAGACACCTCTTGAAAACTTGGAACCCGTTCTAAGGGAAGACATTCAGAAGGTTCGGTACATTAATATGTACATGCTCGATATGTTTGATTTTTTTCTATATTTTTCCTCTGACCTTATTTTTCTGCATCCTCTCGTGAAGATATGGGATTCTGTACCTAAACCGGAAGCTCACAAGGAAACTCCACTTAGTGATTTTTTCAATGTAAGACCGGCCGGTAATTTTATTATTTCTATCATGTATTTCTTTTATGTTTGCATGATTTTTTTAGGATAGTTTTTTCGTAAACCGTTGAATGCAGGTTGAAGTTGTTGCACTCTCAAGTTATGAAGAGAAGGAAGAACAGTTTAAAGAGCAGGTTCATCATCGTTTGAGGTCAAGAAGGTTTTGTCATGTTGATCAAAACTATTTATTTACTTATTTATTTTTGTTTTTTTTGTGGAAGGTGGCTAGTTTAAGACAACAATTTTACCATTCTATTGCCCCCGGTGGGCTTGCTGGGGATAGGCGTGGTGTTGTTCCTGCTTCAGGCTTTTCTTTCAGTGCACAACAGATATGGAAGGTTATTAAGGAGAATAGGGACCTCGATCTTCCCGCTCACAAGGTTTTGATATGATTTTTCTTTTATGTATATCAATTGTGAGCGATTTTCGAAGCTTATCAAACATATATATACGTGGATATATGCATGTAGGTCATGGTTGCTACTGTTCGATGTGAAGAGATAGCTAATGAAAAATTCTCCGCCTTCATTGAAAATGAGGTATTTTTTCTATGACTTGCAGATTTTGTTTGAGGAGTTTATATATTTATATATATACCACTGAAGTTTTTATTTATTAAATTTTCGATCCATATATGCAGGAATGGCGACAGTTGGAAGAGATGGTACAATATCAGATAGTGCTAGGGTTCGGGAAGAAGCTCACCTCTATTCTCGATGTTTGTCTATCCGAGTAAGTGAAACATATGAAAGTTTGTAGTTTTTGGTAGCTTACCGTTATTGTGGTCAAATATGGACACATGTCAGAAATGTCTGACTGCATTGGGGAAATTTTCAGTTGTCTGTTAGAGTTATATTGATGGGATTATGGGGTTAATATTATGTCGATGACACTATTATGCTGAATATTTCATGGCAGTTTGATGAATGATTTTCAGGTGGAACTAATAATTCTCATCTCACTTTTTTTTTGGATAGTGAGAAGTGTCGGTTCATTATGCGGAAACACCTAACATCTAAATGAAGGAATTATGGCTTAGTAAATATTCTTAAAATTGAATTAATTTTTTGAACACACCCAGTTCTCGATTTAGCTAATGTTGGTTAAGTTGTTTCATTTGTTAATGGAAAAAGATAAGTGGGTTAGATAAATGCGTATAATTGCGTTTTATAGGAATATATAACCTGAATTTAGCTAATGAGACCTCTGTGTCTATATCTTTTTTTTTTTCTCTCTCTCTCTCTTATCACAACAGGTATGATGCAGAGGCAACATATTTTGACGAAAGTGTCAGATCTACAAAGCGGAAACAATTGGAAGAGAAACTTTTGCAAGTAATGTTTTTAATCGTGCAACGTATTTTGTTATAAAATATGGAGTTGTTGCCTAATTCTTCCTCTTTGAGTTAATTTTCTTTCTCTCCATCTGGGATTTTCACATCGATGGCCATGCATTTGGGGAAGTGCCTTATGAACATAAATTGATCTCATTCCTCGGTGTTATTTTATTTTATTTTTTTTCGTTTTCCCCTTACATTAATACATTGTCTTTTTCTGCATTAGCTTGTCCAACCTGCATATCAATTCATGTTGGGACACATACGCTCGGGAACCTTGGATAAATTTAAAGCAGCCTTTGAAACTGCATTGAATGAAGGGAAAGGATTTTCAGCTGCTGCAAGTGATTGCATGGAATATTTTATGTCACAGTTTGGTGAAGCAGCTGCAGGTACAGCTTCTCATTCTACTTTGAACTCTCTGAAAGAGCTTCTTCAAGAGTCACATATGCTTTGAGGTTTTATTTTATCATAATGCTAATATAAGATTTTATTGCTATTAAGAATTTTTTGAATTGTCCTTATTATGCATGAGTTAAGTGATGGATGGGCTAATACATGGAGAGAGAGATGTAACAATTAAGTTTGTTTGGCCATATCGATAAATATTTTTGTACTTTCTTAGGTGCTGACATTGACCAAGCAAACTGGGACTCATCGAAAGTAAGGGAAAAACTTAGGCGTGATATAGATGCACATATTGCTGATGTTCGGGAGGCCAGGCTCTCTGAACTCACATCAATATACGAGGTACGATATACAGTCTTGCTAATTCTTTCTGTGTTTGAGTCTAGTGATGGCCGTAATTTATGTATATCCGATCCAGTTAGTAAATTATGACACACAACTCTTTTTCACCTTCTCTGCTTTCTCACTGGTAATTTTTATATGCAGAAAAAACTAAACGAGGCATTATCTGAACCAGTGGAGGCTCTGCTAGATGGAGCTAGTGATGACACGTGGCCAGCAATTAGAAAACTTTTCAGACGCGAGACTGAAACTGCAGTTACTGGATTTTCCAAAGAACTTTCTGGATTCGAAATGGATGAGGTGACAAAGAATAAAATGCTCTCGAGGTTGGAGGATTATGCTAGAGGATTAGTAGAAGCCAAAGCTAAGGAAGAAGCAGGAAGGGTCTTGATCCGTATGAAAGACAGGTTTTTGTTTTGTTTTGCCTTTTTTGGTCTACCTCGACTATATTTACATAGCCGATTTTCTTGTAAGAGTTACTTGCGCTTGATAGGTTCTCAACAATGTTTAACAATGATTCTGACTCGATGCCACGAGTCTGGACTGGGAAGGAAGACATACGAGCAATCACCAAAACAGCACGTTCTGCTGTATGATTTCCTTTAATTCATATGTTCTCGGTTAGTATCTTTTTTTAAACCTCTGAAATATTAGGAGATTTATGAATCTATGTTTCCTTTTTTTTTTTGTCTAGTCTTTGAAGCTATTATCTATCATGGCTGCTGTTCGTCTGGATGATTTTGCGGATAATATTGAGCGTACATTATCACTTGCTCTTGCGGACCCCAAAACTGCAGCCTCTACTAATAGAGGTATCTCAATCGACCCGCTTGCTTCAAGCAGTTGGGATGAGGTAACTAAGCTGTACTTAATATTAGTTTGGAAATGGAAACACCTATTAGAGTAAAGAAAAAAGAAAAAAAAAAGAAAAAGAAAAACTAACTTATTACCTGCAATTTTTACTTTTTATCTTTAGTTTATTCCTTTTCCTATGATCATTGTCTCTTACTCATAGTGTCAAGTGGTGTACTGAACGTTGACTCATTTTGTTCATATTTGTGATTGACTGGTTTCTTGGCAAATGATACATATTGTTCCATTCCAAAAGAAATTTGGATCTTTAATTATATGTTGCCTTAGACACTCGTGCAAATTGGAGCTCTTCAATGTGATTAACTGAGTGAAAATCGTTTTCACCGACTCAGGTTCCCTTATCGAAAAGCTTGTTAACACCAGTCCAGTGTAAATCTCTATGGAGGCAGTTTAAAGCCGAGACAGAATATACTGTTAGTCAAGCCATTGCTGCTCAGGTAACTTTTTTGCATATGTTGGGCTCTGAAAAGTATGGTGTTACATGTTAATTGTTATCATCCACTTTTCCGAGTTTTGTTTTGTTTTTTTTTTGGTCATGTTCACAAAATAATTTCTATATCTATTTCTCTATATTATCAGGAGGCCAGCAAGCGAAACAACAACTGGTTGCCACCTCCATGGGCAATTGTCGCTATACTTGTCTTGGGATTTAACGAGTTTATGACCCTTTTGAGGTACTTCTCATCTTATTCACTCTTCTTTCGAGAGTTTTGTTATTGCAAGATAACTGAAATATCTGTACTTCTTGCTATATTTTATGATTTCTTTTGGCAGAAATCCTTTGTATTTGTGCGTCATTTTCGTCGGTTTCCTGCTTATGAAAGCTCTTTGGGTTCAACTCGACATATCCGGTGAATTCCGCCATGGATTTGTAAGTGAAGCATTTAAAAACGTTACTTATTCCTTCGTCCCACGAGCAAATATTCTGAACGGCACTCATATCTGAACTTCTGCAAAGATTTTTTAAATTATTATCACTTAATTCTTTTCATGCCCACAGTTAGCTGGAATCTTAGCATTATCCACAAAGTTTTTGCCAACTGTCACGAACCTTCTAAGGAAACTAGCCGAAGAAGGCCAAACCAAACGGCATGCTAATACTGAAACTCCTCAGAAGCCTCGAGTTCAAGAAAAGAGCTTCGAAAGTGCTTCAAACGAGCATACTCGTTTATCATCAACAGCTTCGTCTGAGGTCACTTCATCAGAAAACAGCAACGAGTACTCGAGTCCCAATCGGAAAACACAGTAAGCTTTCGAAAGTGTCTCCTTTTCTTGTTTAAGGATGTTTCTATCTCCATATACGTTTTTTCGTGTTATTTCGACGCAGTTAAAAAATGTAGGCATTTTGATTCAAGCTAGAAGCTGGTTTGTGGTGAAGTAATTCCACCCAGCAATAGTGTTTGTATTTATTTTTTTGTTACATATATGTTTATTTATTTTATTTTTTTGGCATGTGGTGGGTAAACTAACTGAGAGGCTGATTAGTGTTTACCAACTTGGGCTTGGTGATGATTTAGACCAAACTTTGCCTTAAGTTTTGTATCAGTAGAAGTTCAATGTGGGAAATGCTAATCTGTATACAACAACAACATACCCAGAATATTCCCAACAGATTGGGGTCTGGGGGTCAGTTGTACGCAGACCTTACCCTTGTAATTATACAAGGAGTTGTTTCCGTAGCGACCCAAGGTGCATTGCGTCGTTTTATATATTTTTTTCTAGAAACTTCACTAATAGAAGAAGCACTAGAATTTAATTGAGTCATTTTGATCTAGTCCATTATTAACACTATGCCAGGAAAATTGTCAACAATGACCTAAAATGCTAATCTGTATATTTTTCCTAATTTGATTCATATATAATTAGATTGTATTTTGTTTACTTAATCTTACTTGAATTGAAAATACTAAAAATTTCCATCATTTTTTTTTTTTAAATATATATTTTTGTTTTTGGTAGTTGAATTGATAGGGTATCAAATCTTTTGGGACATGGCCTGCCTATAAGTATTGCAATTTTATATTTGAGATAGTAAGGCAAGAAGTGCAATAAGCTCTGTGAATATGTTTCTTTGTTACATTTTGAATCACTTGATCAATAAGTTTATCCATATTTTTTAATGAAATAAATTTTCAACTATTATTGTCAATAATTAATAAGTTTAACACAGTTTGTGAACAAAATTGTAAAATTACAAAATATGTCAAGTAACTCGGTTCAATTAGTAAATAATAATTTTAATCGCATAAAATGCCGGAAAAATCATGCCTACCGGTGAAGTCACTACCTTCACCGGTAGGATCGACATTTTCATAAACTAAATTAAATCGCAAAAATCCTGCACAAACATGTGAATTAGAGATCATCTTTCTTGTTATTTTTCTTTTGAATTCGTTGCTGGTGCGTTTTAACATTTTGGACAACATCGAGCTCGATTTTTATTAGTTAGCTTTGACTAATTAATAATAACATTTGTGATTCTCACTATTTTATTTTTTTTGCCATTTTTGTTCATTTATTTTAACTCCCCCGAGCTATAAATAAATTTAAAGATCTCGTGTCCACTCATTTAGCTGTAAATTGGCTGTTCCAGACCATTTATTTTTTTTAAAAAAAAAAAAAAATTTGACAGGCACATTGATTGAACTAAATGCAGATACGAGTGATAGGCAACAGATAATAAGAGAGTAAATTAATATTGTCAGTTGAGGCAGTAAAAAAGGAAGTTATTATTACGTTATTACAATAACATCGTCATTTGATGGTTTAAGGCCTATGATAATCTGATAGGTGTTGCTTTAACGCAAATAATTAGGTGCACCTTGACACACCTAGCAAGGTGTGTCAAGTCTTTTTTAAAATGAACATGTTACGTTATAATATAGGACACACGATAGTAGCACTGGTTGCTTAAAGCTACAGCATTGTCAATTAAATTTATGATGACATGGCATTCAATATAACCCAAGACCATTAATTATATGAAAAAAAAAAAGTTTAAAAGTAGTCCCTAATTGTGGGTGTATATGTAAGGAACGGGAAAAAAACGAGTGCAGTCTCACGCAGACGAAGAGTATCATAAGCAAGGAAAATCTATATGAATTTCAAGTGAGGTTCCATCCCAAAACCAATTGATGGAAGGAGTAGCTCATTAGACTCATAAATTAATTTCATTTTCTCTATGTAAACGATGTGGACAACTCACAAGTGAATATTCTAAAACAAAATTAGTTTATCTGAAAACAAATTAATGAATATAGTCTAATAGTTATTGAGCTTAACGAATTTGAGGACAATTTTGACCAGAAGCTAACCAACTCGAGGACCATAGAAGAAAAAAAAAGTTAAGGATGCGAATGGGTATAGTTTTATTTCAATTATTTATTTATTTTATTTTATTCTATTGATGAAAGGATTTTAATGGAAAAAATAAAGGTTATTGTAATGAAAGAAGTTGGGAAGATTAATGATTATTGTAGTGTAAGGTAATGTGTTATAAAGAATAATGAGTAATTGTGATGTGGTGGAGAAATAGTAAAATGGTTATTGATAATTATAAGTATGTGAGTGGATAATAGATTTTATATAGAGATGTGTACACTACAAA